CTCCCTCCCCCTCCCTCCCTCCCTCCCTTCCTCTTTTCCTCCTTCTCTCCCTCCCTCCCCACTTTCCTTTCTTTTCTCCCTAAATTATCGAACCCGTGTCGCTGCCAAACTACGCAATTTCTGAATCTTGAGACCCTCTAGGAGGCAACTCCTGTTGGAACCATATATACATGTCTGTCTGTCCGATTTTGATTTACATAATAGGATCTCCCTTGAGTCCACCTCTTATCAGGCTGGCCTCAGGCAGCTGTGAGTAACTCAGCCAGTTGATTCAGGGCAGTTGTGGGCCTGGGAGTTACCCCCAGGGCAGGGACCTCCACCTGCAATGGGCAGTGCGCGGGGCGGAGCCAGGGCCAGAGCTCTGCGGTGAGTATTAGTACAGTCAGGGCTTCTGCTGGGCAGGGCCAGCTGCTAATCCTGCCAGACGGCCACCGGGGCGGGGTGGGTGGTGGGGGTGACAAGGGACATATAGGTGGCGTCTGCTGGTGAGAAGCACCTAGTCCAGGTGAAAGGGTGGCGGTGAGAGGGAGTTCCCACCGGTTGAGTTCTTAAAGCCATGAAGACACAAGAAAAATAAGAGTAGCCTATTGGAGTCTTTTGGACTTGCCTGGAGCTCCACCCTCGACCAGAGGAAAAGCCCCTTGGGATCAAGGCGGGAGCATCAGACAAGCGCAAGAAAAGCGCCTGTGCGCGCTCCACCTCTGCGCAGCGGTGCGGGGCGGCGACCTGTCCTTTGGGTTGGCCATGGCGGCTGCAGGACGTGCGCGCTCCGGGAGCCCAGCCCGTGGCCTTCCGCACCTACTGACCCTAGCGGTGAGCTCCGGGGACCATCCCGGGGACGGGGAGAGGGACATCGGGGCGGGGAGGCTGGCCCAGGTGGGGGTCACCGGGCCTCGCGACCTCTTAAACTGCTGTTGTTGGAGGTGAGGGAGGGCGGCAGGAAGCTGAGCGACCCGGGCGCCTAGGTCCCGCAGGGGAGGGAGTGTGGCTGTGAGCTGAAATAGGCACGCGCGGTTGGAGACGGGGGCGGATCGCGAACGCCCAGCCAAAACCCTGGCCTCGGGGTTCCCTGGGCGAGAGCGGGGTGCGCCCGGGCTGTGCCAGGTTGGGAGCACTGTCCCTGGAGCCCTGGGTGCCGGCCATCCTGACTGAGGGTAGCTCCCCAGGGGACGACACCCAAAGCCAGCGTGGTGTCCTTGGGGTCAAAAAAAAAGAACTCGTTGCTCTTGAGAGTTCTGTGCTAGGGTTGGGATTCGAGAGAATCGAGAGTTGGAGTGAAGGAGAGAGTGAGTCTGGAGTTGCTCCCCAAATTGGGAGATGGGCGAACAGAGATGACCACTGATCCCACAAAACTCTGGGAAGTGAACTTCCTGGCCCTGAGATTTGTCCCGGGAGGAGTCTCAACTCTGCTCAGATTCATTCTCCTTTAAGAAGGAAAACAGCCAGGACCTTAAGCCCTCTCTGAGTGGGAGCCAAAAAAGTGACTTTATTAGGGACCTGACTGGATCTCCCTAGGGAGCCAGAAGACTCCAGAATTCACCTCGGGGAGTAAGTAGGCCTTCGGGGAGTCAGGGATAAGAATGCCCTAACGTGTAGTTTTATGTGGACCCCTTGGACAAGGAAAAAGCTCATTGTGCTAGGTGACCAACTTGATATGGTGTCCTTTCGCCCTTAGCCTGCAGCAGTAAACTCAAGCTGTCCCTGAAGGAAGCCTGGAGGAACCCAGGAAACCAAGTGTGTGTGTGTGTGTGTGTGTGTGTGTGTGTGTGTGTGTGTGTGTGTGTGTGTGTGTGTGTGGTCTGAAAGGTTAAGGTGTCTCCCATTTCTCCTGGACTCTCTTTTCACAAGGGATTCCTATGTTTTAGTTATTGAAAATCTGGTTGGTTACTGGACTTAGAATGTCAGTTCCAAGGAATGAACGGACTTTAAACTTTTAATCACAATTCCCAGGGGCTATTCATAAGCACAGGTAGGGACAGGTATCTCGCAGTCAAGATTTTATGGCTGAAGAAACAGCCTAGGGCAAACAATGGTCACAAAATATGTTACTGATGACAAAGAACGAACTTTGGTTGGTATCTAGCGAGGGAAGCTGCCACTTCCTTTTATACCGCAGGGCCTTATTCTTGGAAAGAAAAAGCATGCTTAGTCTTCGTCTTTGTGATATAGCATTGCCCAGTGCAAACCTGCACTCCTAAATACACATGCCTTAGATCACTTTAAGAGAAGTGAATGCTACGAGAGAATCAGCTGACGTAGAACCCTCACTCCTAGGTCTCTCTTAGTTTCAGAGTCTAGGGACAGGCACTGGGAAGGGGGCGGGGCGTTCTGGTTGCTGGCATTTTGCTTTCAAGCAGTAAAGTGTAGTGCGAGTCCCCTCAGGTTGTTCTAAACGCCAGTGTGGTGGATGTGAACAGAGCTTTGCCAGCCTCAGAAGGGCGTGAGAAGTGCGAGGTCTACTGAAGAAGAAGAATAACTTTTTGGGGTGCGGCTCCCTTCGCATCTCCTATTTCTCATATACTCAGGTAATCCCTTGACATTCCACAAGTCAGCTTCTCTCCACTTCCTAGTACTGCCCCACCCCATAGTGTCTTAACCACTGGAGCTTGCTTTCTTCCTGAATGCCCCAATGGTGCTTTGTTCTCTGCAGCCTTCCAAGATCTTCTTTGACAAGCTCAAGTGATGTGCTCTATTCTTCACATAATTCTACCTTGTGACTGAGTCGTTATTCTGGACATTAACACCTTAGAAAAAACTCTCTGACCCTCAGAATCTGACTCCTTACTCAGTTTCTTGGTCCCCCCATCCTCCCTTTTTCTGTGTATGATTTAAAGGCGTAACATGAGACCTTCCCTTTTGACAGGATTTAAGCATAGAGTAACAGAAAATTAGCTACCAGCACAATGCTGTGCAACAGCTGTCTGGATGCCTGTGTCTTACACAACATAAACTATGTAGCTGTTAGGCAGTGGACCCTCCTCTTCCTGTGCCGCATGACCTGGCCCCCGCCTTCTCTTTATTACTTTTGTCTGGCCACTGTTTTCCCCACTTGCAAATGCTGATTTTCTGTGGAGCTTTGTTCTAAGTCTTGTTTCTTGGAGTGTGTGTGTGTGTGTGTGTGTGTGTGTGTGTGTGTGTGTGTGTGTGTAATATGCATTTTTTTTCTGGAGGTAATTTCATCTATGTTATGTTTTAAAATATCACATTGTCCTAAATTAATATTGCTGTTTCAGACATCACCTTTATATTTCTACAGATAGACTCTGTAGCATACCATTTTTTTAATGTTCTCAAATAATGTTCTTTTTTTTTTGTATCAGAGATTTCAATATATAGAATGTCTGTGTACCTTACTCCTCATGGGAAAGTCTAGAAGCTTCTTTTTCCTCATTACTCCTCTTAATCCTTTATTGTCAAAATAACTTCATCTTCAAAGACACTGCATGGTCTGCTTACTGCTATCACTTCTGTTGCTGGATTTTGCTGTTGTTAATAATGTCTCAGTGGATAAATCTGGCTGTATGCCGGTCATAGATGAGCAGCATATTTATGGATAGGAGCGCTAGAGTTGTAGAGGACGAACACAAAGCCAATGACTGTGATTTTTGGAGATGTTGTCCTCTTTGAACAGATTTTATATAGCCAGACAGAAAGCTATTTAATGGTTGAAGTCATGTTATATCAGTGGTTCTCAACCTGTGGGTCAAGACCCCTGAGACAATCGGAAAACACACATATTTTACGTTATGATTCACCACAGTAGCAAAATTACAGTTATGAAGTAGCAATGAAAATAATTTTATATTGGGGTGGGGTCACCACAACATGAACTATATTAAAGGGTCGCAGCATTAGGAAGGTTGAGACCCACTGTGTGGATAGCATCAATAAAAGAATTATTGAGATTGACTTTGAGGCTACTTGAAGTAGGCAGATGTTTTGCAAAAGTTAAAATTGAACCCATACTTTATTCAGAACACCACAGGAAACTCCAAGTAGATGAACTAAAATGCAGGATGACACCATGCGGATTACAGGAGAAACATGATGAATCCTATACATTTTCAGTTAAGAAAGCCTGTCTGTGACTCAGATTTCAACTTTTTCAAGTTGAGAAAAGCAATGATATAAAAACAATCAGAATTCCCATTGTAGAAACACAAAAATAAAACCAAGCCAAACCAAGCAACAGCATAAGCTGTGTTAAAAGGTAAATATATTTGCTTTTTTTTTTTTTTTAACACAAATACGTTTTAAAGCCCAGTGTAATATATTAGAAAGTTCTGATACATAGTCTTGTTTTACTTAGTAGGACTTTGTATGCTTCTTTAACGGCTACATAACCCTTTGTCGCTCTTCTTTTTCATATTTTTTCCTATGACCTTTTGATCCAGCTTGTTTAGCTCCAGGAAATACTGTGTTGAGATTTTATGGGGATCATAAAGTTGTCGTTTAATTGAGGATTAATGTATGTATGTTGCTGATTTCTCTTAGGCAGACTGGATCCACTTTTCTTTTTGTGTAAATGCAGAAATGTGTTTAGGTTTGTTTGAAAGAGTCGAGTCTTTCATGGGGACCTCATGGCAGAGGAGAGCAAGGCGTTTGGTACCCACAGTCAGGAAGCAGACAGCATAGTGCTGCTGCCACTCAGCCTTGTAGGCTTCTTCCTGAATTTCCTCCCTGGCATTTCCACACATTTGATCGATTTAGAAAACAACTTCTATACTGTGTGACTGGTTTCATTCACGGACAGGAAGAGTAGTGATAACTGTGTTTTAGCAGTTGCTTCCCTCATGGGAATTCATTGGTTGGTTTGCTTGAGTTTTGTAGCTAATGTCAAAGCAGATGCAAATAGAGCTATTTCCTCCTCTTTGCAAACCCTACCTAGCTCTTTTGTCTAAGATGTCTTCAATGTGACATGAAGCATCTACCGTGACCTTGGAAAACCTGTTATGGTTCTGGGTTTAGTGATGAGATCATCTACTTTTCTTGTTGCTGTGAACAAATACCTGACTAGAAGCAATTAAAAAGGGAAGCATTTATTTTGGCTCTCGTTGGAGGTTACAGTCTCCTTTGGTGGGAAAGCCGTGGCAGAAGAAGAGTGAGGCATCTGGTCCCACTGTACGGGGACCAGTCAGGAAGTAGCAAGCATGGGTGCTGGCACTCAGCGTGTTTCCTCCTTATTACTCAGTCCTGCACCCCTGCCCTTGGGATGGTGACACCCACGTTCAGGATGGGTCCTCTCTCTTCATTTAAACCTCCTGGAAATATCTTCATAGGCATACAAGAGGTTTGTTCCCACTAAATCCACTAAGAGGAACCATCACAGTGGGGTTACTTCCAAAGCTTTCCCTGTGGCACTGCGCTTATAATATACAAGAGCTTTTGTTTTGTTTTGTTTTTTTTAACTCAAAACATGGATCTGAATGAATCCCAAACCAATGCAAAGCCAGTTTAACTGTGGCAGTATCTCATATTGAAGGTGTAATGGAGCCTGGCTTCCTGTACATTGTAGGTGTGTCCTGTGTTTCATTTCCCTCCATCTCTACTGAGGCTCATCTAAACCAGAGCCAATCTTGGCAGGTCAGAAGTTATGTCTGTAACTTAGTCAAGGTCTCAACTTTATCTGCAGACCATGGCCTTCAATTCTTTGCTGTTTTTGTCCATTCTTTGATGCTGTAGGATGTTTCAAAATCATGTTATTCAGCATTGCTAGTTAATTTTTTCATACATTCTCCTAGTTTTCTTACATGTCTTCATTCAATGAAAGTTCATTCCCCTGATTTATTTCTCCACAATATTCAGACTTACCATACCCCAATATAAACCTGCATAGGTGATTCATTTACTGGAGAGAAATCTTCGCTTTTTTGTTGGTCAGTTTTTTTCAGTGCTCTGAGAAATACCTGAGAAAAAGGTGTTAAAGGAGAGAAGATATATTCCGGCTCAGAATTTTAAAAGTTTTAGTCCATGGTTAACTGATGCCATTGCTTTTAGGCTCAGGCATGGCAGATACATCATGGATGAAGGTCATGGTCGAGGAAAGCTACTTCTCTCATGGTAAATGTTAAGCAAAAAGGAGTACCAGGAAAGAGACCGTGTAGGAGCCTTCACGGTCTCACCTTCAGTGACTTCCTTGTGTGAATCGGGAGCCAACACAAACTCCCACCACCTTCTACCAATGCCATCCAATGAAACATTCCCTTACAGCCATCGATTGAGTCAAGCCCACACCATCCAGTTGCCTTCCAGTGATGGGATGCAGCACCCAGAATTCATGCCTTTGGGGTCCCAACTTACTTGTAAACCATAGCATCTCCTTATAGTGTATAGAAGAAAGTGCACATAGGTTGTTGACACTATTCAGAAACTGCTCCAAACTTATTCTTCAAAATCACTTTAATTTTTTTTCTCTTTGTGCTGTACACATCAGTCACTGTAGCCGTGGCTCTCACACGTGCTCATGTTGTGACCCTTTATTACAGTTCCTCAGGTGGTGACCACCAACTGTAAAATTATTTTCAGTGCTACTTCCTAACTGTAATTTTGCTACTGTGATGAATTGTAATGTAATTCATATCTGTGTTTTCTGATGATCTTAGGCGACCACTATGAAAGGGTTGTTCAACCCTTGAAGGGGTCACAACCCACGGTTTGAGAACCACTGTATGATAGATGTCCATTTAGGTTTCTGTCATCTGTCTTTCGGTACCTTTATAGTGTAAACGTTCCCTTCTCCTATCATGACTGACTCATGGCCACGCCTCAGTTGACCTCATCTGGTTCCTAGGTGAGGCTGGCTCTCCCTCCTCTCCCTTACCAACCTGTACTTCCCTACCACGGCATTTCCGTACCCTATTGAGCTTACAAATATGTCTTATCATCCTGGGGTTGAATTTTCATGCAGATCATGTCTGTCTACTATATAGTAGACATTCAATGAAATTTCTTGAGTGTATGAATGAATGGATGTCAGGGACACTGTTTCCAAAAGCAGTTGTCTTAACTGGGCCATTCAACTCCTCTACCACTGAGACCTCAGTGCAAGTACCATGACCCTACCTTAGGACACTGCTCCGCCGTTGCAGTTCCTCTCCTGGCTCCTGTTCCCACGTGTCTGCGGTCTTGTTGCCGTGAGGCTAGTTGATTGACTGCTTGTGAACCCCAGATAAGGCCACTCTGCAGCTCCATGCATTGTTGCTTTCCTTGGCTCTCTGAACAAAACCTGCATTTCTCACCATGACATGACAGATCCTCAGTAACATGTTCCAGACTGTTCTTTAAGTATGGAACTGGTTTTCCCCTCAGTTCGTCCAGACTCCAGCCCTCTCTCCATTCTCTGCTTTATTTCCCCCGTAACTGCTATCTGTCTTAGTGGGCTGTGGCATTTGTGCACTTGTCTGTTTGTTTACTGCTGCGTTGCACCGTGATCTGTAGAGGGCAAGGTCTTTGCTGTGCTGGCTGCTGGAGCCTGTGACTCAGCTTAGCACCTCCTTATCACCGAGTGTTGGTTGAATGGATAAGTGTTGGCTAAGTGAATGAGATATTCTTTGTCAGGCTCCTTGAGCCACAGTCCTTAAAACACCTGGCTGTGCCCCTACTCCCTTGGCTAGGCAGCCTGTGAAAATTCCCTTCTTCCCCTGTAAACACCATCCACAGCCCCCTGTCCCATAAGAAGTCTTGAATTCTTGTTCTAGTCCTAAGGGGTCACTTACCGTCCATACATTAGATGGGAGGGCTTCTTGGGGTTTGAGTGAGAATGCTTGAGAAGTGGTTCCGGGTGGTCAGTCTCAGCCAGAGTTAAACTTTTTAATTTATTTTCCATGTATATCTGAAGCATGGGCATGTAGAGTTCAGATGAAGGCATCAGATCCCCTGGATGTGGATGCTTGTAATTGAACCAGGGTCCTGTTATACTGAGCTACCTCCCCAACCCCCAGCATCAACTTTTTATTCCAATATTAAAAAGTCAATTTTTAAAATCCTAATTAATGGTTAGTTGGCAATTTGGGGTTGCCACATTAACTTTGTAAAGACCAATAAAGTCTTACTCTCTTGGCAAAAAGGAAAGAAAGAAAGAAAGAAAGAAAGAAAGAAAGAAAGAAAGAAAGAAAG